AAGGAAATATTTTTGTGAGTAGGATAGTAGTAGGTAGATAGTAGTATAGGAAACCTCGGTCAGTCGCGGCATATTTACTTTAATTTAATTACTGATTTATTGATTGTTTCACAAACCTACATTTTTTAGCTTACACGTTCATTACTTTATGTGTTCTCATTGATTAAACTTCATTATTTTTGGTTGATATTTCGTAAAAATGTCTAAGTGTTTCCGTGAAACAGAAGTATTGACATTATTGCATTCGTTGCCGGAAGATCAATCGGATAGTGATGGTGAAGGTGTACCATTACCACCAGAAGATGAAGAAGCGAATCATATATTCCTGAGTTCCTGAGTATAGGTTTAATGATGGTTCAGACAGTAACATACCGTTGGCTGTCATTCAACAACAAACTAGCGGAAGATCGTCTCGGCGACGACGTCAAAAACGTAACAACATAAACACTCACGCCTGTCAACCAGAAGGGTAGACAGAGACTACGGACTTCCATTTGGCACGATCCTGGCATACCTCTTTCGCCTCCTTCACATTCATATATCTACGCATACACGATCGTTGGTTAATGGTACTCCTAATGTGGCCCATTTTCAAAATATCGCCAATTTGGTCGATGAACCTTCTTCTAAGGCGTCCCTTCCCGACTCTGCCGTTCACATCTGCAATATAAATTTGCTTTGTCACTCTTTCCTCGTTCATTCTTTCTACATGACCAAACCACCGAAGCATTCGTTTCTTAATCCTGGTCACAACATCTTCTCAAAACGTAACAAATAAGTCAATAACAGAACAAAACCAAACTAATGTAACAAAAACTCAACGTAAAAAAGAGTAGGAGTGGTAACAGATAGCAGCAGCGAGAATATCGGAGGTCTGGCTAACTCACTACCCCACAATATATTCCAAGTCGTATTTCGAACCCCTCCCCAGTACCCTCCTTCCTATCCTTGCTATAAGACACAAAAGAACACGTCCCGTCAAACCCTGTTTTTTACGTGGTAGAGCCACGCTGCAGCTATATTAGTTATAGCATAAATGGTTCGGATCAACCGAGGTAGAATCACGCTCTCACAGAATACCAGTATAAAGTAGCAGCTAAATGCTGTTGTGTTTCGTATGGTGCTTTTAGAGAACCGGAGACCCTATTTTATTGGAAACAAGGCATTCCGTCTTAGTCCTTATGGGTGACAACATATCTGCATTTTCATTCTTAATCGAGAATAAATGTAAATATCCATGGGTCACAGCTTCCACTTACCATCAGGTTGACTGTGTGTTCGTTTGTCACCCTTATTTTATTTAAAAAGAAATATTGTAACATTGTTAAAAAAGTGTGTTTCTGAGTGGTGATGTCAATTTTAAAAACTCTTATCCGGCGTGTTTTTGGCTTATAACGTAGATTTCTTTTCATTTGAAAGAGAATATGGTAGAGAATAATATTTAATCATAGAAATTCCTAGTATTGGGGTTATAATTCTGAGAAAATTAGAGATCATTGGGAAAAAACAGTCATAAAATATGGATTTTTATACACATACATAACATTACATTTATACAGTGTGTCCCTCGGTAAAGTGACAAAAATATAGACAAAAAATGAAAATAATTTAATATAATATAATTTTTATTTTTGGAAAAAATATGAATATAATTTTTATTTTTGTCTATATTTTTGTTACTTTACCGAGGCACACGCTGTATAAATGTTATGTGAATTTAAACTACAAAATATGCTTAGGGTTAAAAGTGTTCATAAGACGAAATTTAATCCAAAATTGGAAATTATTTAGTATTGGAATTGATCTTTATAAGGTGGTTTGCCCTTTAGAAATTGGATTATCTTCAGTATCATAAAGGTATTTTAGAAAATAAATTGCACCTTTAAACATCTAGACTCGGAACAGTTATTGCAGTTTGACGAGATAATTTCAATAATAATTTACCTAGCTTTGTTGGAATAAATTAATTAATAAAAGTGTGAGCCATAAACACACCTTCTTCCGTATAAAATTCGAACCCACAACCACACTGCGCTATCGGACCGTTATTTTTTTAGTTCTAATAGTTTTTAATGTCTTAATTATAGAAAACTATGACCACTTCTTGTTGCAAAAATTAACTTCCAGTTATACCGAGTAACGAAGACTTTAAGTGGTATCCAATATTGCTATTCAAATCCGCCAATCCAAAATGGCGATTACAACAAATACTCACCCTGAAGAATCTTATATGAAGCAGTTGTTTTTAAATGGGGTGATGTTAAAAGTGATAACTATTTGATCCCTGTTATACGCACTGCAACCCTTTCCTGTACGCTTTACATTAAAAATTAAAATGTTGTACATTTCCACTTAACTTACATAATAGTTTCAAAAGTACTTCTAGGATATGATCACAAACTGCAGAAATCCGGGAAGTCTGCAGTTTGTGATCATATCTTAGAATGCTTAGGGCATTACATCAGATATGATCGACCATAAATCCTCGCAAAAGAACATCCATTGATTCCAAGGATGATACGTGAAGCTATTGAAATTAAAAAACATCCTAATTAAAATAGAGAAGGAGGCTGGGTACCACCACCTGCTTGGGACCCTGTAATTAATAAAATTAAAACTAAGCCCAAGCATACCACTGCAAGACTTCAAGACACAGAAAGTTCATTCTGCGTAGGCTGAAGGTGCTCCGGATTAACACTGACATAGGGACGTCAGTCACCTTAGTCTCCCGTGACCATGGATGCTGAAAAGCACCCGAAACGTCGGGAATTAAAAATCAAATAATTAAACGCGATAAAATCCGTAAAAGTCATTTTAAACAATGTGTAGTGTTCGCGTGAATATAAGAAAACATTAAGTTTTTTTGTGATAATTTAAAATTTACATCAAATAGCTTAACGTTATATCTATATTAGTCATAATATATTATCATTAAATATTTCTATTTCATTTATTATCGACATTTTGTTAGACATATTCATGGTCCAATATTTAATAATCGATGGTTATATCTTATCTACTATCAAGCACAATACACCTATATAAAGTATTATCATAATATTAACATTACTGATCCTAACAGGCCACGTGTGCTAATATAACAATACTATATTGAAAAAACCTGTTGCATTGGGTGCGTTTGGCAGAAAAAAGCGCTAGCAAGCGCTTGTAAGCAAAATGGCGATCGTAAGCGGTAAGTGCTGTCAAATCGTAAGTAGCTATTTTCCTCTAGGACACGATGTTAGTTTTAATCGGGGAACCTAACCTAATTTAAATATATGTTTGTAAAGTATTCATATTAAAAACTTACCAATCATGAATTTTTAATAACATGTATATGTTTATTCATATGATTATATTACTTAAAACTAATATTGCACAAAACAACTTTTAAAACTCTGCTTCAAAACAAACAAATTAAATAAGCAAAATGGCGGATTATGTCAGCGCTACTGAAGTAGCAATCGTGTCCTGGCCGAAAACTATTTTAGCGCTTGTAAGCGCTTGCTAGCGCTTTTTTCTGCCAAACGCACCCATTGTGTCCGTGTTTTAATAAATAAATTGGGTTGTTGCGTAAGTTCTTGCATTTATGCGCAATAAACATATAAACGCCACTTTTTGTGGTATAAATTTACAATTTGGTAAATGAATCAGTTACTTGAAAGGAAATCTTCTGTTTATAACTGCGTTAAGAAAAGCGTGGAAATTAAATTTTTAGGCTCCGTATACCAATATGAGAAGAGCATGGTCAGATGGACGTGGATTTTATATGCTACTGCTTTTTCGCCGCAGAACCTAGCTGTCTCGGAGTTAAGACATGTGTCTACTAGCATAATTTTACATGCAAAAGACAGTAGGTAAATAAAAGCTGAACTTCAAAACCTTTGTCGAATTCAAACACACTCAAGAAAAAATTATGTATTGATATGTATATTAAAGTTTTAATTGCTGCCTAAAAACCTGACGATGACAGTGAAGTATACTCAGAATAGTTACAGGGTTTAACTGAAAATATTAAGGAAAAGCGTCCACAACGTAATCACATTCATTACTTCCTAAACCATGCCTAAGAATATTTGGCAAAAATTCCACGTTTCACGTCACATTCAACTTTCACTCAAAAATATAATAATCAAACACGCTCCTTACCAGATCTCACACCGAAAGATTTTCATCTTTTCCGGTAAATACAAAACGTTTTGAATGAAAAACAACTTGAAAATATTAAGATTAATAAAGAAAACTTAAACATAGTATAGTTGTAGCACGAATGGGTCGGCTCGACCGGGGAAGGACCACGCTCTCACAGAATACCAGCGTAAAATAGTAACTTAATGCTGCTGTTTTTCGTATTGTGAGTGTAAAGAACCGGAGACCATTTTTACTGGAAACGAGGCATTCCATCTTAGTCCTCACGGGTGACAACGCATCTGCATTTTGATTCGTAATCGAGGATAGATGTAAATGTCTATGGGCCGCAGCAACCACTTACAATCAGGTGGACTGTATGCTCTTTTGTCATCCTATTCTATAAAAAAATGTGTTTCTTCATTCAGAAAGTGAGAATTTACTTGTTTTAGTGTCACCAGGGTTTTTGATTTAGTGTCACAAGGTAACTTATGCTCTGAATAATCTATGGAGGAAAACCGTAATAAAATGAAATAAAAATATTTATAAAAGTAATAATTACTTATTTAAATACTTATGCTACAACCCACTGCTAAAGTGATAACACTAAAATAAAATGAACATACAACTGAAATAAGATAAGAGGATTCGTTATTATGCAAAAGCATTTTCATGATAATTGTTTGTATTACAAATTATCAATAAAAATTAGGTACATGCATTTTTACAAAAATACTAGAGAATATGATACGCTTTATAAGCGTATAATAATAATAATAGCTTTACTTCTCTAATTTCACTTTTCACTTATGTCATTTAATTCCAGTCTATAAAATATCTCACAATTTTATATTAGTCCCTGAATGATTATTTCAACACCTATTTGGAGGATCCCACCATTGTCTGAAATTTTCATATATAGTAGTCTTTTTCACTAAATCCTCCTCATTAAGAATAGAACAAAATCTACAATAGTCATCTGTCTCTAAGCTCTCGAACCTCCTATAATATGAATAATGATCTTTCCATCTAAAGTATTCCGCATACTTTTCTGGATCATTAATTAACTCATTCATTTTTTCTGCTAACTTTTGTGGACCAAGATCTCGTGCATTGAGGTAAATTCCATCAGGCATAAACCTGTAACAAGTTAGGAGACATTGTGACTATCAACAGATGAAGAAACAGCTATAATGAAAATTGTCAAAATATAGACCAATGACTTATAGAGTACGAATTATGTAGCGATGTGGTCTTCAATTGACCTGACAAGCGATGTGATAACGACGCTTTCTCCTACCATGGGAAAAACTTATGACTAGCTACAAAAATATACAAAACTGCGGTGCACCTAGTATTCTTTTGAACGTTACTAGTTCCAAGGAATTCTACTCATTTTCTGCCTGGGTCTCTGGGTCTGCAAAGCATTCACTGCCGGGTAATGGTTTGAAAGACATGCAGAACAAATAACATTACATCATAATTATCATCATTACAGCCCTTCACATGTTCACTGCTGAACATAGGCCTCCCCCAAGTAATGCCATAAAGAACGGTACAGAGCCAGCTGCATCCATCGATTTTCTGCATGTCTTACCAGGTTGTCACTCCATCCAGTGGGGTGCCGCCTTATATTTCGCATACCGGTACGAAATTGCAATTCGAGAACCTCTCTTTTCCATAGATGTCAGCTAACAAATCCGTTAGGCAATACTACATGATATGAGGTAATCTTAGTTCTTAGAGGCAGTAATGCACCTACAGAATTGTTTGTTTGGATTTAGCTACAAATCCAGTGCCCATGGACTGCAGTAATTACTTACATTCAGGTGAACCATTGGCTTGTTTGTCAATATATTATTTTAATAATGATATTGCACTCCCAAAATATAAAATGGCATCACTTAAATTTAGCATAAAATACATTTTTAATAAATTAAAACAAAGAGTAAGCTGTGAGTAATATTATAGAAAAAAACAAATTATTACAAAATATTGGTTAATTATAAAACTAAAACAAATAACCTTACCTTGTATAGTTAGCCCCACCATAAACAATTGGTATAGCTTTATGTTTCAATGCGTGTAATAACTTTTCAGTGACATAATCTTCACTAAATGAATTTTCAAATGATAAATAAAAGTAATAATCATTTTCAATCATCTTGTTACATTCGTCATCTTTGTCCCGTTCACACTTTAATGGTCCGCACTTACCATAAACATCTACATTTAAATCATATTTTTTTAGTTGCTGTTGCAAGTCTCTAACGAACTTTTCACGACCACTCCTTGAATAACAGTTCGAAACGAACCAAGCCGCCGCTTTCGACTTTTTACTAAGCTGTTTTTTCAACTCATCACTAACAGGATTCATTTCTTCTAATTTCATCCAATGCATTACAGTCTTAGGACCTATTAATTTCTTTTCTGCATCACGAACAACAACGTATCCCCATTTTGCTTCGGAATCCAATTTATATGTCCACGTCCAGTTAAAAAAACCATCCAATTTATTTGAACAGACCGGGTAGTTATCAGCTGATTCAATAGTCGCAAATGCAAACTTTTGATGTGGAGACCTTTTGATGGGCAAACTATTTTTATTCATACGCACAACTTCTGGCCCAGAGAAGGCAATGACGTCAAATTTCGTATAGTCACCAAGATAATTTCTGTCTCCAGTAACGAAGCAGTTCGTATATGGACAATTTCTTTCAATAAACCCATTTTGTCCTTCACCCATATACACAAACGGTACATTTTTAGATGATGTCCATCGCAATATATATTTTAATTTTGAATTATTTGATTCTGTCGTCACACTGGTATTTTCAAGTTTATTTTCGTACTCCGACACTTTTTCAATAATTTTATCTATGCTTTTTTCCATTTCATATAGTTTACTACTGGATATCACATTTTCATAGCTATACCTCCATTCTTTGAGTGAAAGATATAAAAACACTAAAATAGAAAGAGTCGTGCAACCGAAAAATATTTTTATGAAATAACTATTCCTCATTCTGATTGTTTTGTTTTAACGTACGCTATCGTACTTTAAACAGGTCGCAAGCGCGTGTGCGTTCCGCGGCAGATCATAACGTCACTGACAGAAAAATAAACATTGGCACAATACCACATATCTAATCGCTGGATTCACCATGTTCACCTTTATCCATATCTAACAGGACACTGTCAATGCAGTCTTCCATAGGCAGTTTTTTTTAAAGGAATGTAACTAATGAAATATAATTATTTGGTTAATATCTCGTAACAATAACCATACATAGATTCAGATTTCACTAGCTCTGAACAAATGTCAAGCCTCTCATGATATTAGGATATAGAGGGTACAAATCGAATGCGCAACATTTAGCCAACGTAAAAGTATTTGCTCGTTACTAAGGTTATTCTATGAAACCAAATAACGATAAAATCTAACATTTAAACACTGTGCTAGTTGGTTTGATTAAATTATTATAAACATTTGATAAAAAATTAAAACTAAGACACGTCCTGAGCCACCTGCATCCAATAAAAGCATTTTGGACATTTCTCAAGGTCATTATTTATCTCGCACAATTCAAATTATAATCATCTTACATCTTTATACCTTCACGTTAATTGTTTATAAATTTGAATTTTAAATAATAAATACTTTTTAAGCTTCAAAAAACAATAAAATCGGGCATCACTTAGGAAAAATCAAATCACAGTATGTCCCTTATTACATAATCTTCTCTCACTTTATAATTTATAAAAGATAACAACAAACACTCCAAAAATAATGAATGAATTACTCCTGAATATTCTACGCCGCGTCATCAGGCTAAACTCTAGCAATAACGACACGCGTGTGTAAAGGAAACATATCGGTCTTATAATAACCGTAACATAGCAGCAACACAGTGATCAATTTTCACAGCAATATTTACACAAAAGTTTCACGTCTACTGGTTATTATGTTATGTTAGGACTAATCTAAAGACTTTTAATTGTTATTGTAGAAATAAAATAAGACCCCGTACTAACTCATCTTATTTCTGAGAGGGTTGAAGCCTTAGATTTTCTCTATTCTGAAATATTTAGATACGATATTTCCTACATCGCTCAGAACGTAGCAATTCTTAAAATTGCAATTAACAATTTCATTGGTTCCGGCGGACCAGAACTTTTTGTTTGCGCATAACATTTAATATGATTATTCATAGATGCCAAAAGAGGTAAATGAATACGTTATCCTCTTTAAAGAACAAATCTATAAATAAGACAAACCTCCATGTGATTCATCCGAGCATATTTAAATTGATAACGTTAGTTGTACAATTAACAGATTAATTAGTGTAAAGTTAAACCCATGTAATAAATATATTAATTATTTTGCAACCTTCCGCTAACTAAATACAATGATGTGTCTTACCTGGATTGAAGAGCACCTCCCGCCCTCCCTCAATTGCGTGCACTAACTCCGTCACCACTAGTCCCAGCACCACTACTCCCAACACCACTACTCCCGGCACCACTACTTCCAACACCACATATATATGGTGGTACACATGTATGTGTGGACTAGTGGTGACGGAGTCAGTGCATGCAATTGAGGGAGGGCGGGAGGTGCTCTTGCAAATTCAATGCAAGATGCATTGAAATGCTAACGCATATACCGTTAAGAATCTTAGCGGTCAGCCGCCGTAGAGTCTACATCACCTGAAAATGCCTCGTGTAGAGGTGAAACACGTGTCGTATTATCGTCAATATTGTGTCTTTCCTAGAATAGTGGTGTTGAGAGTAGTGGTGCTGGGATTAGTGCACACAATTGAGTAAGGGCGGGAGGTGCTCTTCAAACTAGGTAAGACACATCATTTTATTTAATTGAGCGGGTGGTTGCTAAATAACTATTAATATCCTTACATAAATAAGTATAAATTAAAAACATAGTTTAAAGTACACCGTTGATAAAATATAACATTATCTCGTTTCGTTTCATATCCGGTAACATTTTGTGATAAACTCAAATTAACATGCACATTTCTTGAGTTTAAAAATACTTTAAAATTAACAGCCATCAAAAATCGTCTGCTAAGGCTTACAGATGAAAAAATAGATGTTGTAGTTCTTGGGCAAAATAAATTATTTTTTCTTATAGAAGACATTATGAGGTAATTAAAAATAATAATAATTAATAATGGCACTATACAAAATTTCAAAACGTGCAATAGGTTAACATACTAATTGTGTTGTGTTACACATTCTTGGCATATCTTTTTGGAACAAGTAAGGCAGATTGGCCTCTTACAGACAGTGCAAAGATAAACAGTCTTTGTTCGTTTCTTATGATCCCATCTGATCTCTCGGTAACGTATCATTAGTTTGCGATGTATTTGGTTGATCAGACATATCTAAGGCATGGTACTTTGTCCAAGTTACTACCCTGTTCTTCAGTCTCGGAGAATTCGGAATTTGTGTCGTGATCACTCCCAATATAAACGGCGTCCTCGTCATCGGAATGTGGCTCACGAATACATACAGCTGCATGGCCGCTGTCATCGGCAATGTCTTCGTCTTCGTCCAGTAAATCATCTTCTTGCAGCCTCATTCAAGAAAATAAAAGAGCTTACTCCTTTCTAAAGGGAAGGCAACGCACCTGCAATTCCTCTGCCGGCAACGCACCTGCAATTCTCCTGCAAAAAAATCCTCTGGTGTTGCGAATGTTCATGGGCGGCGGTAGTCATTTAGCATCAGGTGAACCGCGTGCTCGTGCGCCCGCTCTTCTATAAAAAAAGCCATTCATTTATGATATCTGAGGCTAAATCATCTGCAAAGTTTACCGATTCAATCGTTTTACGTTTAGATGCCATAGTAAAAGCCTAAAACAAAATTAATGTGGCAGGAGGGCTTAATTTGCAAGTAAAATATATCCTATTTACGTAAAGAAATAATAATAGTTATATAGATAATAGTTAATGATAATACTATATATACATACATATATATATATATATATATATATATATATATATATATAATCACGTAAATAATATATATATATATATATATATATATATATATATATATATATATATATATTCAATTTACGTGGTAGAGCCACGCTGCAGCTATATTGTGATTGTAGCATGAATGGGTCGGCTCGACCGAAGGAACACACTCTCAGAAAACCAGCGTAAAATAGCAGCTTAATACTGCTGTCTTTCGTATGGTGATTGTGGAGAACCGGAGACCCGTTTTACTGGGATCGAGGCATTCCATCTCAGTCCTCAGGGGTGACAAGGCATCTGCATTTTGATTCTTATAGAATGTAGTTGTTATAGTTTAGTGTGCCACACTTACTGTTTACAAAAATTACTATAGCAAGCAAACTATAAAAATATTAACATTTTGTGAATTAGTATAAGAGTATCTCAACTCTATAAATCATACTTTACTATTAATTATAGCAATATATCATATATATCCTATACCTTTAAACGAGCAATTATATACATATATATATATTTTTTTTTTTTTTTTTTTAAATATCGGAATCTCGGAAACGGCTCCAACGATTTTCATAAAATTTAGTGTCCAGGGAGTTTCGAGGGCAATAAATCGATCTAGCTAGGATTCATTTTTATAAAATGTCTTTTGTCCTTCTTTTCAGGCAATGAAAAACTGCTACAATATAAGAAGGTAAATTTTGACACAGTCAATGATCGAAATAGCTCAAGTGGATATCGGTCGGGCGCGAAATCGTTTGGCCTTGGTTCGCGTCCTATCTTTGATCCGACTTTTTTCCTTTTTTTTTTTAAGTTCCCTTCCTTTGTAAGAAAATCTATTATTTCGAGCCCTTTTTTTAGTATTTTTTTAAATATGATAATTTTAATCAAACTAATTGCACTCATGATTTTTTATTCAAATAACCAGTTCAGTTTTTTCTATTATGTCAATAAAATCAAAAAATATTATTCATGTTTCATCAGTATGTAATTTGTATCTAAATATAATTTCCAAAACACACGATTTCCAAAATAAAAATACCGAGGAAAGCTCGGTCATCCAGGTACTACTATATTATATAATTTGAAACTCGTCTAATTGATTTAGTCACAGAAAATCAAATAAATGAAAATCTTTGCAGCCATTGAGGACTGACGACTAACGTAAAAACTCGAAACTATGAATTAACAGTGGGTTTTAAATAACAGATTAAAAATGATTAGATGAGATATAATTTTATAAACTATACTTTCACTGCTTTTCAACCGCAACACGTCAGACTCATAGCTTATATACTGCTATTACCTTGGTATAGCCTTAATTACAGCATGTTGGTAGTGACTCATAAGATTTTATCTATTCAAAAAGCGTCCAACGTGCATGTCATATGCGCACTACGTCACAATAATAGCTATAGATTTACTGTTAACAACGCGACGCGAGCTCGTAATATTTTACTCATAACCCATCCAAAATCACTCAACGCTCCTAAAGAAGTTTTTACTTCAATTGGGATTAAGTTAAAACGACATAATTATGATTGGCTATAAATTACATTAAAATGAAATTTAAAACATAACGTTACAAAAGATCATCATAGAAAATCTCTATGGTACTTTAAAATTTATAACAATGGTGTAATATTCTTCTAATTTATTTATTTATTATTCTTATATCTTGCTTATTATTCTTTCATTACTTATCACTCGGTGGCAGCGACTACTCTGATACCGACTACTATCAGTCGCTCGAACGTTCTGCATATTGTATAAGGGTGAGCGGCCTGTTGGTAAACAAATCCGAAACATTATACTTTGACAGAGTAAAACGCCTGCTTATTGTATTGGTCGCAACACACGGTCAGTTAAAATGATTAGTTGAATTGATATCAGTTCA